ATAATACACAAAACGTAATGAATGTGAGAGAAAATATGGTGTAAGTTCAACAATAAAAACACAGATTAGTGAAGCATTCACAGAGGAGGTAGACTGGTAGTAATGGTGAAATGGTTACTTAAACACTTGAGAGAAAAAGTGAGTTTTTAGTTGATTCTTTAAAGAGACATTGTTATGAAGGGAGCTCAGATTAACAGGGGGTTCATTCCAGAGCCTGGGGGCCACAGAGGAGAAGGACCGGTCACCACGGGTCTTAAAGTGAGGAAGGGGAACCAKAAGGAGGTGTTGATCCTGTGAGTGGAGGTCTCCTCTGGGGTTGTAAGGAGAAATGAGACTTTTCATGTATTCTGGGGCTTTAACACTGATAGAGCTAATTTAATCTTGAAACATCACAAAGACTTGCTGTCTTGGTCTCAGATGCTCCAACAAGACGTGCACCAACAGTTTGTCCTCTTTTGAACTCTGGTGTGTCACCATAATGTTGTGTACATTGTGATATTTAGATCCAAACTGTGCTCTTACCCTGCTAACTGACCCTTCACACTCTGCTCTTACTGGTACAATGTGTAATTAATGAAGACTGGACACCAGGCTGGCCCAGTTTAACCATGAAACCTCCCACACTGACATGACAGCTGTTTACCCTGTAGGTTTATGGCTCAATAAAGAGCAACATTTGAGTTTTTGTTTGTAGTGAAAAACAAACAATAAATAAAACTGTTTAGAGGTGTTTTGTCATGCACTGTTTTTAGGTTTTACCTGTTCTTTGCTCCATTTCTCCAAGACCTGCAGCCAAAACCAGGCCAGCTTGTGAGGACTGCCAACAGCCTCCCATCTATACAASCATCATGAACACAGCACAGAACACATTAGACTTCTGACAACATAGAAAACAACACAAACATAACTCTACATAAATCCCTGCACAGCGTTATTAGGCAAAAGTGCCCAAATAAGTGTGAGTGCTGAGTCAGCATTCACACTACTGCTTTTCTGTTTACAATGTCTTAGACAAACTACTTCACCTCACTTTCAGAGGTTTTATACCAAAACTTCAAGCTTGTTCAGAGCATTTCTGCTGTGACTTTGATAACATTTCTACCTTTAGTCATGTTGTACTTTATTTACTGTAATTTTTCTCACTAAAACCAATGAGTACATTTTGTAATCCTTTAAAGGAGACCAGCTATGGGTGGTAGAAATGTTTATGGTATGTCTGTGGGCTATCCAGACCATCTTCATTCAATTTAAT